TCGATGGCACATAACAACAACAACAGTTCACAAACAATTATTTATTTATTTATATTGATATTAGCTCCTAAGAATGGAGAAGTTCGTTTCCATATATAAACCTAAATGCCACTCTATGCATGATCTCTGCATTAAGACAACAAACAATGCCATAGGAGAAGGACTAAAAGGAAATAGGACAGGTAGAAGCAAATAAATGAATGTGTGAACAAGTGAGGACACATAAACTAATGAAGAAATTGACAAGATTCAAGTAGACAAGCAAATCCTATCATGAAAATCACCTCTGCTTCATATAAATGAGCAAGATTCAATAAGCTACATTTTTATCACATACATAATAAAATACACTAAATTTGTTATAAGATGTACCCTATTATGTGGGTAGAAATTTAAAAATTCATGGTTGAAAAGCATTTTTTTCAATGTGAATAAGTAGCAGAGTGGCATATATACTTCTGAGAGTTAAATATTTATCACATCACTAGCATTCTGTGGTGGTGTAGTGGGTAAGGAATTTGGCTGCTAATCAGAAGGCTGGAAGTTAAAATTCACCAGCCACTTCATGGAAGGAAGATGAGGCAATCTACTTCCATAAAGATTTACAGCCTTGGAAACGTAATGGGGGTTGCTATGAGTTGGAATCAACTCAGTGGAAGTGGGTTTGGTTTTAGGTTTAGCATGCTATGCATTAAAAGACAATTATTTGTTAGAAAGGATTCCTGCATTTGCTAATTAATATTTTAATCTCTCAGTGAAAGCTGCATTATTTAGAGAAATATAAACTTTTATGAAAAAGTAGTATACAATCATTGCACAACATCTGGAAAATAAAGAAAAATAAAAGGAAAAGCTAAAAGTCATTTATAATTCTGCCAAAATTGAGATTTTCTAACAGTTTTGTTTTATGAACATGAATATATATTCATAAATGTATATTTATGCACTTAAAACTAAATATGCATATATATTAATATCTATACAGACACACACAAATGTATTTTTCCTTTAACATTGTTGTTGTTGTTGTTAAGTGCCGTCGAGTCG